TCAAGAGCCTTTTTCATAACACGCATTGACTAGCCGCACACTTGTCGAGTCCACAAGCTTATGGGTACATACACGATGAGAAGCCATCCTCATGTGGGCGGAGGGTGCGGCGTGACAGGTGTGAAGTGGTCGAATCAGAACACTTAACATCAATACATCAGAACACTTTACATCAATACATCAGAACGCTTTGCATCAATACATCAGAACACTTTACATCAATACATCAGAACACTTTACATCAATACATCAGAACACTTTACATCAATACATCAGAACACTTAAAATCAGTCTGATTTCAGCATTTGATCATTCAACAATGTCCATCCTGTTTGGCGCGCCACACCAACCCTCTCAGCATTCTCCCTCGGAGAATACAAAGTGCATGCACGCATTGGCACGCGCGAGACTTCGCTATTAGATAGCAAAAGTATGTTGACCAAGACTCTGGCTTCAGGCGGCCTTTATGATCTCAGTGGACAGTGATGTCACTGCTTCGCAATGGTGAGGATGTGAATTCACGCCCGCGTGCTTCAGAGCATCCACTTTTTCCGCGGCAATCGTCCCAAGAAGTGCCGCAAGTGAGGATGATTAGCCTATTGCTGTTGTACGTGTGCGTTACGATTCGCAAGCCGAGAAATGTCCCTTTTTCCTAGGATACTTCTTCGCTACCAGGGGTTCTCATACAACCACAGCAATTTCCGGTATTACCGAGATTTTCGTGCAGTAGCCGAGGCCTTCTATTTTGAAGCTTGTGAGCTTTATTCGTCCAGTGGTCCGTTTTTTTCACTGCAGAAGTATAAGAAGTTTTTCCTAAACGCTGTAAAACACGAGGGCAAACAGACTTTTCTGAGGAATGTTCATAGCACGTGGGATCCTGTGCTGTTCCACGAAAAGCTTTCCGCCGCGGCGAGGCATCTGATGGCCCGATAATTAATCCTCCACTCCCACCGATCGCATGCACTCAGAGGTGAGCCAAAGTAGTGCTTCTAAAAGGCTTCTTGCATTCTCAGGGGCCTCCAATTTCCTGAGGAGGGGGGGGGGGGGGGCGGTGCAGCTCCCAAGCCCCTTCCTTCGCTGTGGATTCATCGCCACCAATTCAAACCGAATTGTTGCTTCTAGTATGCTTTGCGTTAGCTGACATCACAGCAGTAAATGACAGCATTTTGCCCACTTGCATCGGTTTTCATGCCGACCATCCCGGGACGCAGCGGTGCATGCACGTGTGTAGCAGACATGACGTAATTTAGCGGAGTGTATTCGCATGAGCCGCTTACCCCACGCGATGCGCGAGAACACAAAATCGTAAATGCGGCGCTGGACGGCGCACTGACATCTGGCTCGGGTTTTTCTCTGAAGTTCAGCCGCGGTTTGAGAGGCACGACCAACCCGGATCTGTCAGATATGCGGGCAAATTGAATCCGGCCGGGATGCTTTAATCTGTTCCTTGAACTCTCAGATGAAGACTTTTCGGCAACTTCAAGGCCGTAAACTGTTACCATCACATATGCAAATGAGCGTGTAGGAGATCATGAGCAATAGCTCGCTATCAAGTCGGAGCACAATATGGGCGAGAGATGTACTTCTAAACATTCTTTAGAATGTTAACCGGGGTGACGCTCCTTAGTTGTGCCGTGAATCGAAAAGGAGCCAGCAGATCTGGACTTGTCTACCGATGGTGTTCCTTTTAGCTTAAGAGTAATATGTATAACACGCGTCATGGTTTACAATCGCCACGGTTCTGTTCCCGCCGTTTGCGGTAAATTGAGAACTATTTCAGACCCACTCATTCACCAAACGGCCTTCACATGGGGGGACCAATGTTCGCCACACAGGCTACCTTTATCGATTGCTCAACCCAAACCCTTACTGACATGCATTAAAAAATTGGTGCCAATGACGGATCTCTCCTCATCCCTTATTGGCTCTCCTAGCTCGTTCCCATCCCCCGTGTTCCGTTCCAGGGCCAGTACGTCATTCCAGGACCCTCCAGCAGTGCCAAATATCCGCCCCTCCGCATCTGATAAGCCTCCAGTAATTACGCTCCAGCCGCCCCGGGTGTGCTGCCGCCGCCCGGCAGCGGCCCCACCACTAGACCAGACAAGTGCCGTCGTACAGAGGATTAGCGGCTGCGTGCCGGGCCATGGCATGTCGGCGACTTTGCAAGGCTGCGGACGTCGCCTAGCCGGGCGCAAAGTTAAGCGGCTTAGCGACATCTGCGACGCACGTCGTGCAGGGGCACTGCGTCCGGCGATGTCGCCCGGTGGGACGGGCAGACACCCGAGCCCATGGCAACGGTGCTCCGGTGCAGCGTCGCTTGTGGGCTGGAACTCAGTAGCGATATTTGACACTTGCCTGTTCGCATGCTGACGCACAGCTGCTGTCGGCAGAAAGACTTTGGAAGTGAGGTGATTATTTTAGAAAGGAAATTATAGTTCGGAGTATAAATGAAAAGCAATTATTCAACTGCAAACGAGAACCATTTGTTTGAAATTTCTCGTTGGAGATGTTGCATATATTTATTCGAATGAAGATCAACTCAAGCTCAGGATCTGTCTAAAGCGCTTTTATTTTTAGAAGTTGAGGCAATCAGGTGGTCCTCTGAGCTTGGGCGGACGACTGGTGTTCGGTTGGTAAAAATGCGCAAGTGATCAAGCGCAGCCATGACTGCTATCACGGTGTTACACCCTCCAGTACTTTAAAGCTTCGTGATGTCCCAATTCGCGCTTAATCAGATATTGATACTGTACCGATGTTTCGACTGCATGCTATTGAAATGTGCCAGAATAACAAATGTGTAGCATACCGGCCGTGCACTTGCTCGCTGCAAAACTGTGTGTTCGTTCAATGCACCAAGCACACTGAGAACCAAAGCGCGCAGATAAAGTTGGTATCTAAATTTATAATCATCACCAAAACACGAGCGGTATCTGTCCAGTATCTGCAAATATGTAGGCCGTAGGGAAATCATTCAACCACGTGCGAGTTGTGTTCCGGACCAGGGCAGAAAGAAGCTCGATACGTCCAGAGATGACCATTTGTCTGTGCTCCTAGCGCCATAAACAAGCTGTTGACAACTTGACGCCTGTGTCAGCTGCATATACCGTGAAGAGGAGTCTATGAACACTTTCTCGTCATTCGCCAATTCACACTCGGTCTCAGCTTTGAATACTGACACATCCGGCTCAAACGGGTCTGGACAAGTTGTCAGAATTCAGGATAAATGACACACGGGACCTTGACGTCGACGGCAATTGATCGGCGCAGAGGGAGGGCTCACCAGACGTGTGTTTACACATGTGCTGATATGTCAAGGCTGGGAGATGAATCAGATCATTGGATTACTGTCAGATGAGCAATAACACCATTCCTCATTTTCATCTCCTCATGTGGGCACTAATGTACCTTTGATATATTGGCTAAAACACCGATTAGTGACGATAAAGCAAACGACTGGCCGGTTAAGATAAAATCACATGGGGTGTCGTGGCGTGAATTTTTCGGGGAGCTGCCTATGGCAGTGTACCTTGTCTAGTTAATGGTGGAAAAATATGCGCCGTTTTTTGGGTCGATCTCAGATGTCCACGGATTTGGCAGCGAGAACAAAAAGCTCCAGACTTGCAACTGGTACCACTCGAATACGACGTGAATAAAGTTCAAGCCTTCCAACTCGACATGACAATGTGTGATCCACGAAAAGTATAGAAAAGTCATGTTTCAATACACGACCAAAAGAATGCATCGTACGACGGCACATATCACCAGGACCGGCTCTTCACATCGGGAATATCTGTCCACGACAGTTAGGGCGGGCGACTGCTCCGGTAGTCCAGCTCCTCTCTGGTGCACACCGGGACGCACCCAAGTGGCTTGGTGCAGTAGACGGCGAGGCAAGCACAGGCAATATATTTTACAAAATGAAATGACACGCCAACTGACAAAAGATACATATCTATACATATATGTATACGTACATATATATATATATATATATATATATATATATATATATATATATATATATATGTATATACATATTAAAATGTCGCAAAACAACGTCAATGTAACGAGATCCAAACATACATATATTGAGCTGCCTGATCCCGATGGCCGAACGAATGTAAGCTGATCATCTAATACTGTCATAAAACACTAAGCGAGATTTCTTCTCTAGATATGTAGCAATATTGAACGCTCGTCACCTGTCGGCTTGGTATGAATGTTATGCACTGATGGGGATACTTAAAACATGAAGTCTGGAACTTCCTTCCACTGGGCTTAACACATGCAAGAAACTGCGATGAGCTCCTGTTTTCACCATTTTCTGCATCTTATGACCTACTCTTGCGTGGTGGCGTTGTTTATGGTACATTATTGTACGATGAAGATCTGTTATTGGCAGCGTAAGGACTCGTAACTCATGATACTGATACATGATACGTAACTCTGGAGGCAGTATTTGCTGCGCACAGTTTGGTCATTAATTCAGCCCAGCTGCATGATCACCATACAAGCACCTTATGGTCATTAAAAGGCACGAGGCTGCATATGCCACAGCGCTAATCGGCATACTCTTAGTTTAATCATTGTTCGTTATCCAGGGCAAAGCAGTACTTTCCTGCCCTTGGAGCTGAGAAGCGGATTATCGTGTGCGGCCCGCCAGCGGGTGCTCGGGAAATTCCGGTCAGCTCATCCTTCACGTCCACAATCCACGCCGGCCGCCGTGATCACTCCACACCGGCGATCCGGCATCATGCCGCCCAAACCCTCGTCACCGTGCCGCTCCAGCGCTCCGTCATCGTGCTGCCTTAGTGGTTTGCCATCATGCCACCCCAGCGCTCCGTCGTCGTGCTGCCTTAGTGCTTTGCCATCATGCCGCTCCAGCGCTCCGTCATCGTGCTGCCTTAGTGGTTTACCATCATGCGGCCCCAGCGCTCCGTCATCGTACTGCCTTAGTGATTTGCCATCATGCCGCCCCAGCGCTCCGTCATCATACTGCCTTAGTGCTTTAGCGTGATGCCGCCCCAGTGCTCCGTCACGACACCCCAGCGCTCCGCCACCATGCCGCCCCAGCGCTCCGTCACCATGCCACCCCAGCGCTCCGTCACCATGCCGCCCCAGCGCTCCGTCACCATGCCGCCCCAGCGCTCCGTCACTATGCCGCCCCAGCGCTCCATCACCATGCCACCCCAGCGCTCCGTCATCATGCTGCCTTAGTGATTTACCATGATGCCGCCCCAGCGCTCCGTCACCACACCGCCCCAGTGCTCCGTCACCATGCCGCCCCAGTGCTCCGTCACCATGCCGCCCCAGCGCTCCGTCACCATGCCGCCCCAGCGCTCCGTCACCATGCCGCCCCAGCGCTCCGTCACCATGCCGCCCCAGCGCTCCATCACCATGCCGCCCCAGCGCTCCGTCATCATGCTGCCTTAGTGATTTACCATGATGCCGCCCCAGTGCTCCGTCACCACACCGCCCCAGCGTTCCGCCACCATGCCGCCCCAGCGCTCCGTCACCATGCCACCCCAGCGCTCCGTCACCATGCCGCCACAGCGCCCCGTCACCATGTTGCCCCAGCGCCAGCGCAGCGCACACGCGGAGCATGGGCGAGCAATAACCGACACCCTGGAGGAAGCCGTTCAGCGGCAACCCTGCGACAGCACCGGCTGCTGTCGCGGCCAACCCGCCGCGTACCTGTCATCCTGGAGAGTCGGTCTGAGCTCTGTGGAACTCTGGCGGTCCCCCTCCTGGTTACGCGATATTAGTGCTGCAGTAAAGCTCCTACCGCCAGGAGTGCTGCAGTACCTTTACTGTCAATACACATACACGGAATAAGTGCCACGCGATAAAATTTATCCTCTAAAAACTTACACACGTCATCAGTTCTACTGCAAATACTTAAGCAGTCATTGGTTATCCACTACATTACTCCTGCCGATACTTGGGCCGTGGAGTTCAAAAGGCATGGGCGCCTAACAAGGTTGGATTTAATTGCAGGTTAGGAAGGATTACATCCGCCCGATACTGCGATTTAAAGTTAGTGGCACCAATGCGAGGGCTCATTTGTCTTGCTATGTTACGTTATTGTCCCGATTTCTCGTCTTTTTGCGTAAGCGTAAACGCCGTAGTTTTGGCAGCATGGCATTTATGATGGGCATGACTAGTTGAAGTATTTATTTGGTTGTGTAGTATTAGAGCCTAATATAAGTCATTGTAGAAGATAAATATTGCGCTTTAGTGACCACAAGGTCAGGGGTTTAGCACTACATTTAGTTGGGACCCCATCTACCGCTCATTGTAGATGGAGAGGCGTGTCTCGCTCGGCGAAACGTTGTGTTTTATATATTTTGGGGCAGGCTTGGCCGTTTTCCCTGGCTGGACTCCAAGTCTGCTTTGCAACACTAAAACACAGCGGTCCACCTTCTTTTTGGTGACAAATGTTGCGCAGAAATATTGGCGTTGTGGGTCTGTCGAGAAAAAAGCATACACTATGGAGTGGGAAAGTCTAGAATGACTTCGCCCGTCCAAATGTTTCCAGGTACATGCTGCCCCGGGATTTTGGTGGGGCTTCATGTACGAGTGGAAAAACTGACGGGTGTGGTTTGTGGAGAATGGCCTGTATCATATGGTGTACATGTCGCGTATAAACGTTGGCAATGGGAGAAATATCGTTTATTAAAGGCTGTGTGGCTATTTGTCGCAGACGTCATGGGAGACGGAAGCTTTTGGTGTAAGTTTCGCATTGCTTCCAAGCTTTGTCGTCTGTCGGCAATACTAAATGTAACTCAAGCAGTCGAAGGAATGTCGCGTATAGGTAAGGAATTGACAAATGTTTGCTGTAGAAGAAATGACGGATATTTTTTGTAGTTTTTTAGGATAGGTTTTTGCAGCAGAAAATTACCTTGCAACACTCATGTCGCGCAAGAAGTATTTACGGTTGAAGTGGCACAGCGTTCCATAAAAGTCTGCATACAAGTGTTTGCAAGTTTTTGAAGAAGTTATTTTGACGTGGATCACTCTACACTACACTCATATCGAGCACACTTATGTCGTGCATGAATGAATATTTGTAGAAGATATGGTGCGCATAGTTTAAGTCTATAGAAGTTCTTGCAAAAGTACTTCTACGGTACTCCGTCATGCAGAACTAATGTCGCAGCACTCGCCGTACCACCTACTTCGTGACCCCCTCCTCTAATCCTCCCCGGCCGCAGCCGCGACCTTGAGGTCACCGCAGCCGCTTCCGCGGTGACGTCACCGGGTCGTGTCCTGACACGTGACGCGTCACGCGCGTTCTGCGGTGCCGGTCGGCGTCGGAGCCGGCCCCAGACAGCACCGGGAGGTGCCTGGCACCAAAAATGCGGTCCGCGCCGGACAAGGGCGCGCCGCGGCGGGATGACAGCTCATGGCAGACGTCAGCGGATCAGAGGGTGATTCAGAGCGTTTTGAAGGACGTAGAAGTTCCAGGAACGTCTGACCGCGCCACACACGCACGGAATCCGTTGTGCCCGTGTGCTATTTGAGACACGGGAAGCGGTATTGCACGTTAGATCTGTTTCTAAGAAGAGCATTTGCGTATTACTGCTTACAACTAATCATGAATCCCGCTGTAGAGCCTGACAGATTGGCGCCAGTTTTGTAAGTTCGCTTCCCAGTAACAACACTTCTGTGTTTTGGCATTGCCGTCAACTAGTGACTGGCTGAGAGGCTGAAACGACGGCAGTCGGGCTATGGCATTACGCTCCACGCTAAAACATCTGGGCAAAGACTGTCCGTAAGGCTGGGGCTGCGCATTGGCGTGGTGGGGTTCGGACTATAGCAGCAATCTATACATGTCCACAACGAATCTGATCTCAAAGCCAATTCTACAAGACGGTAGGCAAAATGTATTTACAAGGCACCGCTTATGCTTGCCCTGTTACACGAGTACAAACATGCAAATCATAAATCAAGTTTAAAGTCGGCGATCAAATTTTGGTGGCACACTGCGTGACTGCGTGACTGCGTGACGGACGTTCCTGGAACTTACGTGACTCCGTGTGCAAGCCCGCGTGCACCCGTCCGCATCTTCATGTGACGTTCATTTAATTTATAATTCAATTTATTTGGAAAATTTTTAAGAGAGGTCACACACTTTTGACGCGGCCCAATTATCTCCATCCGAACATGGTCCGGCGCTCGGCCTTTTTGACGCCAGTGCAAGACAAACATCGTGATCTGGCCACGTTTCCCAGGGTATCAACCGAGACAATGGCGTGTTGGCAGTTCCAGGGTCGCCAACAGGTGAACACCAAGTAAAAAACGCTCCTCGTGTCCTTGTGGTGGAGACGAGGACGCCGTATGAAGACTGGAGGAATCTTTTCTTCAAACAGGTGCCGAATTTATCAGCTGATGCCCGTTAAGAAAGGATTTAACCTTTTTTCTCCCTCAAACCGCGTAACATAAGTTCAAGAACAGTAGACATATACCAGAACAATGTGAAAGCATGACACTGGTTGGCCTCCCACCGCCAGTGTACTCAATTTTATGGTGAAGCTACCACGCGTGCACCGTAACACGGCAGGAACCACAACCCTGCTCGGGGGGTGGGTAAATTCCACCGGAGCACTCGCCTGCATATCACGAGCAGGCGTCATACTTAGTTTCGGGAGTTCTATGCGGCGGTGATATGGCGAAATACTGGGGCGCATGCGACTTCAAAACTAATAAGATATTACGGCACTGGAAGTCCACGAAGACGACCCTAGAGAAAATCTCAAGCGCCACTTGGGCAGGCCAACATTGTCGGAAGTTTCCAGTACGAATTGAGTTCATCATTGTGCAAAGTGCATCCAGCAGCTGTACATCTCAAATTCTTGAGAAAATAGGTCGAGTCTGACACACAGTTATGTGTCAAGAACAAAAGCCATGATATTCTGCAACCGGTTTCCGAGGTACACAGCATGGTAGTTTACTTATGCGGCTGTATCCATTATATTCCTGACCCCATTCTTAATTGCAATTTCGCAACCATCACTGAAAGCACTGTAGGTTTTCAGTTATTCGCAAGTCGTTATGTTCGCTACAGTCATCAAGCATGGCTCGTAGAATATCGACGCTCAGGTTTTGGTCGGCGCTCTTTCATCCTTGAAGGTCGTCATACCTCAAGGCATTTGAGGCCTGGGAAGGCCAGTGAAGAGCATGGGCCTTGGTGGATTCCGTTACACCGTGCACACGAGAATCCTAGCTGCAAATCATCATTAGCGATATCCATGCATGCATGATATTTCAAAGACAAAAGGCATGCAACAAGCGCGTAAGAAACTAAGCGCTCGCAACATGTCATAGCCTGCAACGAACAATGTTTTTGCACAAAAATTGCGCAAAAGTCAACGTCCACGCTGCGAAAGCATCGTACCAAAAATGAAGACATAAAAAAAATTGGTCTAGTTTTCTCAAAAGAGATTCAACAGACGCATTGGTTACGACGACCTCTACGAAAAATTCCCGCAATTTTTGAACGGAGCTTCTCTAGATTTGGAGCTATCCCCTGCCCCGGAAGGTTGAATTCCGTACCCTTCTCTCTATATCTATTTCGCCGTACAAGTTGACTCTTCTGTTATGTCGCATGACAGACCTATAGTTTCTTTCTCCAACATCTCACGTCAAACGTGTGCAAATCAGCGTTCCAGGGTACATTCGCGGCATGTGCGTGCCAGACATTCTTACATAGTGTTTGAAGGTGTGCTTAATGCATCGTGACCTAATGTAAACAACGGAGATGTGTACTAGAAAACGTCATGGGTCTTCATTACTTTTTCAGCGGACTCTACTAGATCTTTGCTTGGAAGTGTTTTTGCCCGGGCATGCGCGAACTTAAAACAAGCTTGCCAGGGGAGATGTAATGAACATTCAACTTCACGGTCATGCTATCCTTGTTCCGAATATCCTGGAGCAGGCTAAATGTACGCTTCACAACAGCAAGGCAGAACATCCCCAAGCATTACAGCATGAACCGTTTACAACAGAATCGTTACCAAATGACAATTCTCAACGAAAAGTCATCTAAGGTCAATTTCAGTGGTTATTGAATGTCATCAGATGCCCTAAAGCCACCTGTTAGACACAACTGTCGACACACTTTGACCTGGCCTAGCTTTATAAGGAGATACGAAGAGCTACTTGCCATTTTACTTCCATCCGAAACGATCTGGCAGCTCATTTGAAAGAGGCAACCCTGAATGATGCGAATTAAAACTCTGCGGGCCGACACACACATAACTTTCAGAACATCACACGCAGAGCTAGTGCGATGTTTCTTACCTCTGCTCCAGCATATTCAGTGCAGGATTTACGTGCATGCCTACCGACGCTGCTGCAGGGAACGACCCATCGAAGCTGCCAAAATTTAAATGAGTAGTTATGAATATCGCTTATAAGTGCATAAGTGGATTATTCGGGTTTAAATGATATTTTATCATATCATGCAAGGGAATAGCTGAGAGATCTTTGTAATCGCCAAAATATAAACAGATTTTTCTCACCGTGTTGAGTAAAGGCGAGCTATGGACGAATTAGTTCATTCTTC